TGACCTGCACTTCGGGGGGCTGAGCGAGGGCGGGGAGGGCCACGGCCCACAAACCGCCCAGACTCCCCAGACGCCGCGCCGCCTGCAGCAAACAAACGCTGCTCCACTTTTTGTTTTTGGAAGAGCACCTCACTGTGGAGTCCAGCTGGCCTTGAACTTGGGATACTCCCGTGTCGTCAGTCAAGGGCTGGAATTACAGGACTGCACCATCGTGCCGGCTTCGTCCCAGATGTTTAAAACGGTGCATTTCTAGGACTACACAATCCGAGAAATGAGGGAGAGAGACCACTGTATGCATATTATATTTCAAAACAATTTTTGGAAGATCCTGGTTTCTAGTAAGAGATGCATTTAAAATAGCATCAGTCACTGCAAATTTGTAAATTTAAGCAAGTGTGAAAAACACAAGGTATCTGAATAGGTTCATTCAAAAGCTTGGTTCTCTTTTCAGTCGTTAGTTTTTGGCAGTAAGAACTTAAGAATAACTTGCTGAGCAAATGAGAGGTCTTAACCGCCCTCCCCAGCATTGGTATGAGTTCTGAGCCACAGTCCTGCCGGGTGTGCTAGTGCCAGCATGTGGGAGGCTGAGGCAGGAGGATTACTCTGAGTTGGAGGCCAGCCTGGACTCTGCCTCAAAAACAAAACAAGATGACACAAAACAAAAACAACAGCAACAAAAAACAGGCCTTCTAGCTAGGGGACCCACTGTTCCTCAAGCAGTACAACTGCTCACTGAGGGCACAGCTGCCGCCTCCCTGCCCTTGCTACGACTTCTTTTATCCACAATTTAGACCAGTCTGAATACACTCACCATGTGCCAATCCCCCACTATGAATAGGATCATTATGTACTACAAATAAATAATAAAAACACTCAAAATCACCCTGTATGTGTAAGTCCTATTCAAGTACACTGATTGATATCCCCTTTCTCTTTCGGTGATTCCTCTGAGTCAAAATTCAAACCAAAAGAGAGTGACCAACTCCATAATAGTAACCACATCTCACACAGCAATGTTCTTGCTCTTACCAAAAACAAAAAGCAACCAAGCACATAAGATTCCATATTTTCATATACTTTAATAACAAAGTCACTTTAGCTGTAAATGAACAAAAACAGGGAGACAAGGACATTTAGCACATGGTCCTCCCACAGCGTAGGCGCACATTAAACTTTAAAGCACACTGTCTGTGTTAACAGAGGCTGCACCTACTAATTCTGATTACATCGATGTCTGAACATTATTATGAAAGTGCAAAGTTAGGTCAAACCATGTTGTCAAGAAAATTCTGTCCTAAAATTTTAACAAAATCTCTTAAGAAAGTCTAAAAACCTATTTTTCCACATCAACTCTCAAAATGTTTCAGTTTTATATCAGAATCAGTTTGCAACTTAAACTTTTACCATACATGAAAAATTATCAAAAATATATTGATGGGTCTATACTAACTGTGACTATATTTACATTAAGCAAATTCCTTTACCAACTTCTTTATATACAAATTACCACTTGTTCTACGTGAAATTCATTAAAAAGTTACAAACCACAGAAAGGTCATTAGAAAGAATGAATTCAAACTGTAACCGCCTTCATCAATGAAGAAGTATTTTCAATAATTTAACTGAAATGCACGGCTCTCCCATCAATTTCAGCTGCAACAGTGCTCCTGAATATGTTCTCTGTGATTTAAGAGAGAAAAGAAACAAGTGTAAGCGCAAAGAATTAAATGAGACCATTTGATGAATATTTACTGATCTTCAAGAAATTTAAATTCTAAATAGGTTGGCATGAAAAGATTAACAAAAATGTAAATAGTTTAAGATAAATGAAGAAACACAGTCTTTAAAAACTGGCAAATGCATCACAGAAATATTTTTCATAGTAATTCAAATAAAAAACAGTATTCCAAACCCAATTAAATTGAATGCAGGCATGGCTTTCTTTTACTATGTCCAGAAAGGGCTCCCATTTAAGAAATTTAGGGAAGAACTTAGATTTTAGAAACAAAACAAGCTGGGCATGGTGGTGCACACCTGTAATCCCAGCACTCGGGAGGCTGAGGCAGGAGGATCACTGTGAGTTTGAGGCCAGACTGGGCTACATAGTGAGTTCCAGGTCAGTCTCAACTACATAGTGAGACCCTGTCTCAAAAAACAACAACAACAAAAAAGCAACAAAACAAAGATTAAAAAATGCGTATTTAAAAGGCAAAGTTTGGTGGAAAGCTCATAAAGGGAGATGTTAACACCCACAGAAGAGGCCACTTAAGGGTCTCAACTCAAGTCACATGGGAAGGAAATGAAACCGTTTTCTCTAAACTTTTCGGGCCCAGGCCAAGTCACCTCTAGGATCCCATAATTAACTGATCGTGTAATGATCACTAAGAACTGACCCCTCAGGACTCGGTTGGGGACCGAGGTGAGCTCCACCTTGGCAGTCAGTATTCACATCACAGACGCTCTGGTAGGCAAAGAGTGGATGTGCAGCACTTACCGGCTCAGTCTGGGCTCTGCCGCTGGACCTTGGGGCCAATGCTCCGTGCCTCCTCCTCCTGACTGGGCCGCTTCCCACTGCCGAGCGCTGGGCCCACGCAGCTCCGCCCTGCACACAGGAAATGTCCGCTGAGGTCAGGGAGGCTCGCGGGCAAGGCAGACGCCAGGGCCTCTGCCTTACCTGGCTTCAACAGGTGAGTCTGCTGACCGTCTGCATGCGCACAGTGTAAGATGCTGCTCCCAGGGGCACAACCTGCAGTATTCAAACAGTACGGTGACGTGCGATCATATGTATTAAGACTACAAATCCCATTTTGAGTACTTAAATTCATTTATATACTTTTTTCAATTCTCCCTATGACCCCAAAATCACATGCCCAATCAGTAACTTAAATTTCAGCTTGCAGAAATATTGACAATTCAAGGCAAAATCATCGATAATTGCTAAGAAACATTTCTTTACCCGGTGACAACGATTAGACACTTGACCATGATGTAACAGAGGGGCAACACTGAGACTTCTTTACCACTTCTCCACTTGCTCGGAGCCTCCCTGGACACCTCCCTCAGAGTCAGGGAACAGGGCTGCTTGACACAAGCGTGGAGGCTCTGATCCCGCGGTGAGAGACACAGACAGACTGGGCCTGAGAGAAGGGGAGGGTGCACCTGGCCGCTGGACAGGCACGCTGGGCCTGCACAAGACCGTGGCCTTATTTTTGTCTTATGCTCCTGAAGTCTTTCTGCATAGAGAATGCAGCTTATCAGATATGCACAGTGGAAACTAGAACCCTGAGATCACCAAGGCACCGTGCATCACAGGAAGGCGTCTTCCCATGGTAACAGAGGACTCTCCCTGCTGACACCTCACTTCACAGCTTCTGGCCCGCTGTCACCCAGCAGTCACCTCTATCACCCCGACACCCAGCCCTGGCCTCGGGCAGAAGCAGACAGAGTGTGCTGTGCCCGCTTTTCCTGACCTCAGCCGGCCCCCCAGCATCACCGCGTTTAGATTTTCACTTGCTGTGAATGTGCCAAGGCCAACACTGGCCACGTGGACACTCAGGACGGTCAAGATGGCCTTTTATGTCACCTGTGTTGTACGGTGATAAAAATCATCCCTACCCCTCCCTTATCATGTCACACACCAGCTGGGCATCCGCTTATGCAAGGACTACAGCAGGCACCGAGCACAGGCGTGACCAAGGATAGATGTGACCAAGAGGTAGGTCTGCTTCAAGGGGCTTTGCAGGCAGCAGGAGGCGAGAGGAAAACAGCGAAATACAAAGAAGGGTGTTCAGGTGCTGGCACGGATGCCGGTGTAGACGCAGGGTGACTCAGGAAGGAAAGGTCAGAGAAGTGGCCCCAGGACAGTCAGACAGTAGGTCCCTCAGGTGTTCTGTCAAGCTTGTCGACTCTGTGCCTCCTTCTAGGACTCAGACAGAATAACCTCAGATACAAAACAGAAGACTCCATTTCTACAACAGACACAACCGGTATTAAAATCAGGAGAGTGGCTAGGGATGTAGCTCACAGACTGAGCTCCCAGAAAATGCACGGAAATCACCACAGCTAGTGACACCTCCACAAGCGCAGACAGTTCTTTCAGGGAGCAGCAGTGTGGAGGATGGGGTTCTGCTGACCCATTAGCTTACTGTGTAACCACAGAACTCAGGAGAGCCGCACACCCTTGTACTCACAGGTCTTTAGGGTCTCTACTGCAGTTCAAATCTAAAATGCTGAGAGAGCTGGGTGTGATGACGCACTCCTGTAATCCCAGCACTCGGGAGGCTGAGGCAGAGGACTGTTGTGAGTTCAAGGCCAGCCTACGCTACACAGTGAGTTCAAGGCCAGCCTGTACTATATAAGAAGACTTTGCCACAAATAAACACAAATAAGATGGGAGTTTTAAAGTGAAAATAACTTTCTCTTTCTTGAGTGTGGTGGCACATACTTGTAATCTTAGCTACTCAGGAGGCTGAGGCAGGAAGATCACAAGTTCAAGGCCAGCCCAAGCAACTTAGCAAGACCCTGCCTCAAAATTTTAAAAAGTGTTAGAGATGTATCTCAGTGGCAGAGGGCTTGCCTAGCATGTGCAAAGCCTTGGGCTGAATCTCGAGTAATTCCACGTCCCAACCCGGGTTTGTAGTTTTTTTTTAGTAAGTTTTATAAGAACAGAAAGTTTACCTGATCACTTTTCCTTATCATGTTATACCAATAACATCAAAAGAATATTTTAAATAAAAGAAAAAATTGCACAAAAAGATACTGAAATGAAATGCAATGAATAAAATATTCTCTTTATAGTATTAGGGATAGACCCAGGCCTTTGCATTGAGGTATACTGCAGTCCTTTTAAAAGTTGTCTTTACTTCTGCTTTAGAGACAGGGTCTTGCTAAGGTCGAACTTGCTCTACCCTTCTGCCTCAGCCTACCGAAACACTGAGACTTCAGGGCACCACAGCTGGCCACACTGAAGCTTTAATAGTGACTGTCCCTATTAGCTAGGGTTGTGGTGTTTGTTCTCCCTCTTCTCTACTTTCCTGAGATTTTCTGTCTATGGGGAATAGTCTCATTTTGTTTTTTAGCAGCTGTGAGGTGTAATTCAAAGACTATAAAACTCACCTTTTTAAGTGGATTTTTTAGAAATTTACAGAGTTCTGCAAATATCACCATAGCCCAATTTCAGAGCATTTTCCATCACTGCAAAAAGATCCCTCACGTCCACCTGCGTTCATTCTCCTGCTGCCCCTGCCCAAGGTGAGCTCCAGTCACTTCAGCCTGGACAGCTGTGCGGCCCACGGAGAGGGCGCCGTGCACACGGAGCCTCTGCGTCTGCTCCAGCCCAGCACACACCCTGCCCCCCCCACCAGCGCTTGGCCACACCGCTGCCTGGCTCTGACGGAGCTAAGTGAGGTGCTACACAGCACTGCTACGCTACGCCTGCGTGTGGACACGTTTTCGTTTCTCTTGAGCAGATTCTGGGGAAGGGAATTTCTGGACTGTACAGGAAGCTTTTTAGAAAAAGGAGAGGAAACCACGCTACACCCGCCTCCCAGGAAGGTTTTGCAATCCACACCAGTCACGATACCGGCCTTCTCGTTTCCATGCTAGCATCCTAGCAGGTGGTAACTGCCTCGCCCCAGTCTGCTGCTCCTCTCCGGGTGACAGCACTGACCGTCCCGGGGCCCAGGACACCCATCAACCAGGCGGGGTACAGTGCTACCCCACAATGTTCTTACTCTGCATCTGCTGAATGACTAATAATGTGAAAAACAGATAGCTCATAACAGAAAAAGTAAGTAGAGACTACAACACATGGCTACAGCAAGCACTGTGGTCTGTTTTATTATAAAAATAAAAGTACTTTAAGACTGCCACATGCTGAGGACTGTGATACTGACCATGCCCAAGTCAGGCTGTGAGGAGCGAGCCCCACAATCGAAGCCTTTAGGTCAAGGTCAGAGTGACTCACACCCAAACTCCGTTCCCTGGACTAAAACCTTCAGGCTAGAAGCGCAGCGTTCTCACGACAACCATGTATTCTGTCTATTCTGTTCAAAATTCCAGAATGCTTTGTCTTGGCCTTTCTGAGCCTTGTTTACATTAATTTCCATAGAAGCCACATGTCACCTTTACCCCAATTAATTGGCAATAAAAGTCAGTGCTGGGATTGGCCAGCGCCTTTGTCAGTTGCACTGGCACAGGTATTCCTGGCCTCACTTTCTTAGTTCTGTCCCAGTGTATTTTCTTCTCAGGCCTGCATCGTACCCCGGGCAGGTGGGGACTAGAGACTAACTGCAGACGTCTCCAGCAGGTACAAACGCTTACTCTTTTCCTGAGCACCCACACAGATTATAAGGAGAGAAGAAACACGCAATTTGTACTGCAGAGATAAGAATTTTCCAGTCACTTATCCTCCCCACCAAAAAAGCCCTAAAGATTCTGCTGGTTAGGCCTTGTGCAGCACTCTGCCTGCACAGGGACTCATGAGCGCAGGTGCGGGACGCAGAGCCCCAGGGTGCTAACAGCACAGTCCTGAGCGAGCACGGGTCTCTCCAGAGGCTCCCATTCCCCTCTCCTTCAGCAGGTCCACCAGTGCCGCGCCACCCACCACCTTCCAAGAAAATGCCGCTAGTTTCCTGAGCCTCAGTGATCTCTTTTTTCATTTGCTTTTTTCCCTCCACATCCCACTTTGTCCCTAAGGTTTATGTCATTTTTACACTTTTTATGACTTTTTTGGTCAAGTAATTTTTATTAATCAACTTTATTTTACCCCATTCCACTCCTAGCTTGATACAAAAGCGGTTTCCATTTTGCTCTACTTTCACCTTTTTCCTGTCCCTCCCTTCCTTTCTCCCCGCTCTCCCTTGTTCCCCTTCCCATTTGAACACTTTCTTCCCATTTTCCAACATCCATTACACATCTCTTTTACATCTTTAGAAAGCTGCACTGAATGAGCTCCAAAGTGATGACAGTTACCATCATCCTCCTGCACCATGACTGCCTCATGTTTATAAATTATGTAAAATTACCCCAACTAGCTCGCTCCTGTGCTCGGCCTTTGAAAGTCATTACATCTGTGTGAGCCAAGAGTGTGCACCAAAGCCCCATCCTGCTCCCTGCTGTCGTCCCCTGCTCCACAGAGCTCTGCCTCGTCAGTGGGCTGGGACAGAGCAGATCTGGAAGGACTAGAGCGGACTGCTGCTCTGGGAGGTTACTCCAACTGCAGGAGACCTAAGAGCGCATAGGCAGGAAGCACACGGCCTCATCATAACTCTGACCATGCGGGGAGTGTGCCCCAGGAACGACAGACACACGGGCGAGGGCCCTGGGGCACTACCCACTACCCCAGCTCTCCAGGTCACTGGCCCAGCCTAGGCCCCGAGGGCTGCCCTCTGGGTGCAGGTGGAAATACCATGGCCTGCACAGAGTGGGCAGGGAGAACCTGACTACGTTTGCTCCTTTCTCTTGGCACTAACCCTTGGAGGCTAGAACAAATGCTGCTTTTTATAAGGATGCAGGATAGTTTTGGAATTCTGAAATGGTTCAATTTTTAAAAAGGTTTTATTCTTAATATCAACTTAGAACATATGATTTAAAAAATAAGCATTTCTCAAACACTGTCTTGTTTTTAACTAAATTAGTCTCATCCTATAGTTAGAGCCCTATAAAACTGATGAAAGTTTCACATTTCCAATATATACCGACTATCACACGTTTAGAATTTATGGGGTGACCTAATATAAACCATAGAGAGGATGCCCATGGCACAGACCATAAGGAAGAGTCAGGTGCACAAGGACCAGAGGTCCTGTCCTGTCTATGGTGATGCCCGTGGCCTTGCTCCAGGACCGCTGACCTCAAGTGCTGCACGACTGATGCGCCCCTTGAGAGGGTAAAAGATAACAAGCATTCTGAAAAATACCGATTTGGGTTTCATTTTGTCAGGTAATGGCATTTTCCAGCTTTTAAGTGTCACCTGGGGAGTGAGGGGACATGTACCTGTGCACACAACACATGCATTTGTACAAGGAACCTATCGCACTAACCTTAAACACAGAGTTTTAAATAGAACCTATTACAGCACAGTTCACCAAGAATTACACATGCTTGGACGTCTCCGCCCATCACCGTAACTCACTTCCGCTGCTGCCGCTGCCTGCAATGCTCTCTCCGGGAGGGTAGCCCATGAGACCTCCATTCCCGTTAGGATTGGAAGGCACTGATGCAAGAAGACCTGCAGGGGACAAAACCTTCCGTGGGATTACTGGATCGAAGGCAGGCACACAGCAGCTGCCACAGGGGCAAGGGAGCAGTGGCACTCACCTAGCCCTCGGTACCGTGAGAGCTGCTGGTAGATCTGCTTCATCCGCTCGATATTCAGGCGGCTGGCCTCAGCGTGGTTCACCATCGGCTTGGGGTAATTCACTCCGATCAAACACTTGGCTACCTTCTGGATGCCTTCTGGTGCATTCCAGGGATCATAGATATATTTTGCAGGGAAGCCTCTTAGGACAGGCAAATAGCGCCTTTTAGGAAAAGGGAGAAAAGTTATTACTAAAATGCACCATAGGCAAACTGGAGTAGATCACTAGCTGTAAGTGACCGAAGTCAAATCAATACCATTTAAATGATCTGTTTCCCCGTCTCCTCTCTGCTGCCCATCATGAGTGGGGACCACTTAACGGTGCTTAACTATGAAAAGCGGTTCCTGGGTTAGCTATTCAAAACTCAGTAAAATCACCCTTGATTTACCTGATATAGTCTCCATTGGGATCTGTTCTCCTACCAAAACCAACAGGGCAATAGCAGTGAAAAAACTGTTGGAAAAAGGAACTACAAGATAGCCACATCCAACTTCCAGCATTTATGCTCCAATCTGCATCAAGCAGTAATTCTTCAAATACCTTCAGAAGTAACAGTAACCAATTAGTTTGCACACACACAATTCTCAAAGCAATCATTTCTGAGGTCACTGCAGAGCAAGTCGGGCAAAGAGAAACTAGCACAGACCTGTAGAATTAAACACCCAAAGCTTCCTTGTGTATGTTGTGTTCTACAATGAGCTCAAGGGAGAGAAGTGGATGGATGGGTGCTATGGTAGCTTTCGGAACAGAATTTACTTTTCCATCCTTTGCAGTGTTAGTGTGGGGAGGGCAAAAGATTATTCAAGTCACCGATTCTGAAGGACAAGGGAAATTAGTACAGAAAACGCAGTAAGCTGCCTAAGTAAGGGAGCAAAACGATAACCAAATCACCCACAAAAATGTTGCTGTGTGGTGCTTGGTTTAATCTCAAATTCCTTGACTGAAAGTGAAACAGAAATGATTTTTATTAAATTTATGAATTAGGTACTATATACATCTTTTTCACATACAACTCTGTGCTAGAAAATATGAAAGATTAAAAAAATGAAATACCAGGATCATAAATGATCCTTGGATAGGGAAAATTTATGATACAGCCAGGAAGGCAACATGTGTAAGTCCTTTCAGTACAATCACAAGACAATGCCACCAAATTTAGCATGATTCACTCTGCATAAAGGACCGCTATAAAGCTGCATTTAAGTGAGGTGAAACAATTTATACTTTAACATTTATAATACAAATATCTAATAACTCTTAGGCGAATCCATTTTGTGACAGAAATGATTACCTACAAATGTGTCTTCCAGTAAAACCAGAATATTAAAACTTAATAGTTCTCTTCACAGCTGGGCAGGTTTAACCACTGAAATGACTTTAGGTTAATCAATTTAACCATTTAAACCAGTTTAAAGGTAAAGATTTTACCATTCTCCCCTCCAAATGTGCCTGTACTGTGGGGAGTATATGTTTGAAAAACCAGACTATGAATGAAAAGGACAACTTCTAGGATTTAAAAAAATAAGATTCGGGAAGAAGTTCTTCCAAACCCCACCACCCCACCGGCTGGAATGCTCACCTTCATCCCTTCCTCCCAGCTCACCCACAGGTCCCCACGCGTCAGGAAGCAGGCGACCGCGTGCCTGGCCAGGTGGTGGATCCAGCCCTCCTGGCGGAGCTGGGTCATGATGGCGTCGATCCAGGGAAAGCCTGTCCGGCCCTCTGCCCACTTTGCCAAAGCCTCAGGATTCTTATCCCAAGGAATCTGAACACAGATGGGGTTTCCTTCCATCTTATCAAAGCGGGGATTATTTGTTGCTGCTGTGTAGAAAAACTCACGCCATAGCAGTTGTCCATAAAGAGAAAGGGGAGGGGAACTGTGTTTCTTTACCTATGATTGAAATGCATGGAAATATTATTAGCAATTTTTAAGAGTACTTTGAAAAACAAGCTCTTGTCTTAGAGAATACCTTTTTGTAGAGATCTGTTAGCTTGAAGTAAAACAGCCGACAGGACAAACAACCAAATCGGAGGTAAGGACTGAGCCCAGTGGGGCTCGCGAGCAGGGAGTTGGCATTCATCCGGGGTCTTTCAAAGTTGGCAACCCACGCCTGAGAACAGAGAAAATCACATCAGCCAACTGCCTCTTCTTTAGGGGCAGTCCTTGAACAGCGAAGTTCGAAAAGTCTGCTCCGTGTTGTAACTCGGCTCTAGGGCTGACCCCAAAACCCGACCTGAGAAAATCTGTGGGGCCGAGCGCGTCACACGTGGTGGGAGACGCTGCAGGGTGAGCGCAGCTCTCACCGGGACGCGCACAGCGCCTGTGTCGGTGCCCTGAGACGTTCGTCACTGGGCTTTTAAAAATTTTCGCTTTTGGGGGGCAAAACATGGCTCCAAAGAAAGTTAGTAAAGCTATGAGGAAAACTGTGAGCACCATGATAGTCAAAGAAAGAAATCACTGTGAAATTTGTTAAAGGCCTGGAAAAATGAATTTATACGTGTAACGTTTGGGCCTCAGAACCAATTATTTGGTGCTCCTTTATTTCTTTCGGGGAAAGTATGTTCAGTTCTTGAACTTTTCAATGTTCCAACATGAATTTAAGTACCCGAGTCCAACAACTGAGATGTCACTATATTCAAAACTGGTATTTTTTAAATAGGCTACCCAGTTCTTAGGGAATAGTAACCTATTATCCCAATTGCTTCAATTTTAAAAGGAGATTAAAAAATGAACTTTTTTTCTTCTAGCCACCCTCTGCAACACTTATGAGAGAAACCTGATTCCCACCCAAGCCGAGGGTGCTGATCTGCCTCACCAGCACGGAGTTCGGAAAGGCAGGCCCTCTTCCCCAGTTTCACTTTCCAAGGCTTCAGTTACCAGGGTCAACGGTGATCAGAACGTATTGAATGGAACATAAAGAGTTCTAAATTTTATTAGCTTACTGTTATAATTACTCTATTGGTTATTACAGTAATCTCTCATTTTACCTAATTTATAAAGTAAACTTTATTAGCTAGACTGTACTGGAAAAAACCGCGTCTATGAGGTTCAGGACTACCCACGGTTTAGCGCACCCACAAGGGGCTGGGATGTTTCCCGGGAGAAGTCTGCCACTGGACACTGCGGAATTCTAGTCTCCCTCAAGTGCATGGTCATGGACACAAGCTTGGAGAGGAAGGAGAGAGGAGCGTGGTGGGAGCCGAGGAGAAACAGCAAAAGTGAGGACCAAGGCCATTAAACGATCAGCTAGTTGATAACACTTAAACCCTTCTTTTTTCAACAGTCTACTTTTAACTTTTAAAAGAAAGTGAGGTAACTTTAAAAATGCCAATTTTAGAGGTATGAGCATGGGTGTATTGTCATACTTTTCTTTCCAAATGCCTTTCCAAACGTGTAAGTGCTTCAGTTTCTCCTCCTGGCCACACTGCAGAGGGTAAGCCATCAGTATCAAAACCTAGATAGAAGAAAGGTAGATGGGTAGAAAGGAAGAGAGGGAGGGAGGGAAGGAAAGAAGACAGCGATAAGGGAAGAAGAAAGAGTGAAAAAAGGAAGGAAGATAAGATACATTATTCTTCCGAAGCAAACATAATTCTTATTTAACCACAATAACTGAGAGGACAAATTACAGAAAAATTATGAAAATAATTATGAAAAATTATAAAAATGAATGGATGACCTGGATAGGCCCACAGAGGCCATGACATAGTCTCTACTGTCTAGGATGTACATACATCTTCATGTGATATCAACAGATTTATAAATACATAAATAATGTACAGATTATTTTTGGGGGGGTACCAGGAATCAAACTCAGGACTTGTGCTTGCCAGGCAGGCACGGTGCCACTGAACTAAATCCTCAGCAGATTTATCACTTACTTTATGAGATTTTTTTCTTTTCATTTTACCCCTTTCTTTCTCTTACTGCAAACTACTTTACTTGGCAAAATCAGGTGTGGAATTTCTGAGAGATTCATGATTGAGTAGCTCCTCAAGTTCACAGGTGGAGCAACTTACACATACCTAGCTCTTCCAGGGAAGGAACTCCGTACTTCTCATCATGGTCTTCAGACAAAGGAGTCACACACTTTTCTATCACTTCGGATGTAATGGTGTCCACTGGAGTCTCCAGTGGCTCCATTTTGCTGATTAGCGTCTGAAATCTTTTGTAAGTTAGAGGCGGCTGGCCACCATTGAGTTCTATGATCCTATTAGGAGAGTCAAATGCAGTTGGCAAAAAAGGACGACAGATTTTGGTTGATAAGCTCTGAAAGGGCTTAGAATCAGAAAATAAAATCTATCACTTAAGACTCAAAATGCTAGCTTCTATATGACTAGAAATTGTATTCACAATGCTTAATAAGTTTAAGATCATTCTCTTCATTTTCCAGACTCCTGTTAGATATAAAAATAGTATGCAAGTACCAAAACCACTAAAACAAAGAGTATTAAGGACATATGAAAAACCAACTAACTGGCTAAATTAGACTAAAGGCAGTAACAAGAAATTAATATATATATGAACATATAAAACACATTAAAACACAACTCAAGGAATCTCTAAATCATCGATACAAGCTACACCAGGCTGACAATTACAGCAAAAAGAATCAAGTTTAAGCCTAGGACAGGCAATTTAGCAACTTAGTGAAACCCCATCTCAAAACAAAACAAAACAAAACAAAAAAACGAGAAAATGAATCTAATGCTGGCCAAAAAACAAAAGGGGAAGGAGAAAAAAAAAAAAGAACGAAATGTGTTATGGTACGTGTATCAATTCCCCACAATGAATGTGATCACTGTGAACTGAGAACATGGACCAATAACAATTTAAGTGAGTAAATAAATAAATAACTTAAAAACAGTTCAAAAATGGGCTGGAGATATAGCCTAATGTGAAGGCCCTGGGTCCAATCCTAGTACAACAAAGCAAAACAAAACAGAACAAAGCAAGATAAAAGCAAACCTTACTTGTCTAGGTCATATAATGTATGTGAAATTCGTACGATGACTTCCACTCCAGCTTCGGTAGCCAGTTTCTTAATTGCGGCATCCCGTTCCTTTCCGAAGGGTTCAGAATCATACTCGATTGAAAGCTTAGTGATATTCCACTCCTAAAACAAGAGAGGACTAAGTGTACACCAGCTTTACAATTGTTTTTTCTGTGATAACAGTAAATAAAAAGCTCAAAAGCCATACACCGAAGGGTTATACACATATCACACTTCAAGTATGAAGGAAGAAAACAGTACACTCCATCAATTAAAAATGTAAACAACAAATGTATATTTACTAGATTCAATGTGCTGCGCTGGGTACTAACCAATCACAAGTCTAACTCTAATGCTGAATGTGTCTGGGCAGCACTTTACTTTTTCCAATTACTTATAACTCATTATCTTGTCCCATTCTCAAAACAACTCAGGCAGAATGTGGCTCTTTGGTTGCTCTCTGCCCTTTGCAGATAAGGTTATTTTTTCAACTAGGGATTTGCTCAGAATCAGCCAGCCACGAGCCTGCACTTAGGCTGCAGATTCAGAGAATGCTCTGTAACACACCTCTGACTATGGACACGGTGTCACTTGCTTTGCTGAGGTACTGTGTCTGGAAATATTTTACTTCTGATTAAAAGATGTTACCTGTAAAAAATCTGGAGATAATAATAATAATAGCAGCTACTTATTGAATGTCAGGGTAATATTAATAAAGGTCTGCACCTGTGATTTTAAACAAGGACATGAAGGCTTAATTAAATGATTTTCTCAAACAGATAGTGCAAGCTTTTAAAATGTTACATCTACTGGCTAATTTCAGAAATAAAACAAACCTGCAATCTACCATTATTTAACTGAGTATATAGTAACACAATGTATTCCCCCAACCCTACAGATTAGACAGGGGCTGTTTCCCAAAATGCGTCATCATTCAATTGTAAATATTTGCTCTTCTGTGGTTACACATTTTTAATTTAGTTCTGTTGAAGTCAGATAATGTCATGTACGAGAGTTCAGTCTGCTGCAGTTAACCGCATGTGGTCTTCTTGATGAATTCTTCCCTTCACCGGAAATCAGTGTGTGTTCTGTCGTCTTGGCTTCACTGTCCCACACATATCAAACTGACTTATGCTCTTGTTCCTTTCACTCTCCTTTTATGAGCGCTGGCACTTTCTATCAATAACACAGTGGAAAGAGCATCGCTGCCTTCCGTGGAAGGTAGAAGTCGTGAGGTTACTTGAGGGAAGCCTAGGATCTGGAACTTGGACAACATATCCTCCGACATTTGTTCAAAACAAGTTATAGAGACAAACCAGGAAAATACTGGACTCAATGTGCCACACCTAAGAAAGCTGCCTGGCTGACCCCTTCTTGTTTGCTCTGGCATCAGAGTACCAGGTGGCCTTGCTATGAGTTCACACAAAGTAACAGCCCTTCGCGTGCTGGTGCTCACTCTCTCACGTAATTTTTCTCTCTGGCACCCATCACAGCCCGATGTTCCAGGGTTACATATTTGTTTACGATCTACATCTACCTCCTTTCCACTACAGTGGGTTCTGCAAAGGCAGGAGCCCTTCCTATTTGCTTTAGTACCGTCTCTCCCATCCTCAGACACCGCCGCACACACAGCAGGAACTCAGTCACTCCCTGCTCAATGAATTCTATCATGTATGTGTCGTGCACTATAAAAGCAAGATCCAAGTAACCCAACAGGTATAATATAAATTTAATGGTGAAATGTTAGTGGCTTACACTTCTTTTATTGTGTGGTTTTAAACCAAACATCACGCCTCACTGTGCTCATCTATAAAGATGTCAGGCACATGTCTGCTTCTTGGATATAATGAGAAGTCTTAAAGATTTATGTACTTGTTCTCTAAAATTAATATTTCAGACTCTCAAACCGATAATGACAGTGCCATTCAAGTTTACCCATTAGTGCCTCCTAAACATTATTGCTTCTTCAGGAAAGCATAGAAAGAAAATAAAGAGAAAAGGCCATCTTGTCACCTATATGAAGTCAGAGTTTAACTGAGGAAAATCTGGTAAAAACCCCGAGTGTGTTAGCCACGCCTGCGGACACACACGTGAAGGTGCCAGACAGCAGCAGCAGCAGGGCAAAGCGAGTGAGCCATAGAGGGGTGTGAGGGCGAGGGCCGGCAGTGCTGGGGCCCCCACCGTCCAGACCACAGAATGGCTACCAGTGCACCTCTGCTGTGGGCAACAGGGCCAGTCACCCTCTGCCTAAACTAGAACGGTCAAACCGACACCTACTGAGTCACCAGGCCCTGACAAAGGGACCTTCTCCCTCCGAAGCCACAGGTGCGGGCGGCACTGACGGTCAGGACTGTCAGGGAGGCCTGGTTTTAACTCTGTAACTCTTCAGACTTTTAAGAACCACATGTATTTAGTGTCTCTAAACAAAAAATAAACATTAATTAATTCAATAAGAAATGAATTCTTTCAATGGCTCTGTACATAGTAAATAAATCTGAAAGGAAATTTTCCTAAGAAGCATTTTATACAGACCAATGTATGCAGCTGAAGGAAAACTAAAGGTGAGTGTTCTGTGTGTTTCATGTGTCTGTACCCCATGGCCCATGTTAAAACCACCTCCTCTCTGCTAAAATGACAAGACATACATAAGTGCATACCACAGTTTGATCCAATGGTCTCTTTTGATTAGGAGAAATTTCAAAACAAAAAATACAAAAGACAAGCTGGCTTAAAAAGTTAGTCAAAATTTTTGTTATTTTGAGTTGGGGATGTAGCTCAGTGGTTCTGCCACCTGCTTTATTAAGTGCAAAGTTCCGAGTTTGATCTCTGGTACCAAAAAAAAAAAAAAAAAAAAAATTAAAGCAACTAATACGACTCAGAGAGAGGGCTGAAGCACTGCACACACATACTTTCATACTCATGAGTTATTGATGAACTATTATTATTTCACATACACTTTCTTCTTAGAACTCTTCCATATTCCTAGGTTACATTAAAGCCTTGATACAATTGTGAACCATCTTTAGTTAGTAATACAGTTCACTGGCCAACATGGTTACATTAGCGAGGCTCTAGACAGCAACGCTTCTGTGAGACCAGCAGAAAAGAAAGGCCAGGGGTTACCAATTTGACTTCTACACTGAGATGTTATTTAGGGAAACAGATGCTCCTCTTCTGTATTAGGATCAGAAACCTTTCTGTTACAAAAATATGATGACTCAAACACCTGCAAAAAGAACCCCCAAAACAAAAGCAGATACTTTTAGCAATTCTAACAGTAGTAAATAGAAGGGAAAACATAAAAGGGGCAGCCAGGAAAACCAGTTTCTGGTCTGAGCACTTCCTGAGCCGACTGCATGGTCCTGAGCAAGTCGGTCAGTCTATCCAGGTCTAACGTTTCTTTATCTGGAAAGAGGTGGCAAGAAGACTAAGAGATTGCTAAGACTCTGCTAGGTTAAAACAAAAAAAACTATCACACTACAATTTTGCATTACTATTAAGATGTCAACAGTTACAACCCTTTCACCTAGAAATCCCTGTTCTAAGAATTATCCCACGAATACACCGGCACATGTGAAAAGAGACGAGAACACGGAGGCCCGACTCTTCCCTGGTATTTGTATACACTCGAGGGCTGTGCTCAGCAGAAAATTAGTTAAAGAAACTTTAGTGTAACTATACTAGGTACCACGGAGTCACTGAAAAGTCTGACAAACGTAACAACCTCAGAAAGCGAGGCACGGGCTATACACACACACACACAAATCCTTGTTTATGCACAAAATATTTCCAACGAACACAAAAGAAACTGGGAATAGCTGTTACTTCTGGGAAAGCCACTTATGGAACATATACTATCTTCCTTGACAATGATTATTATTTTTTCAAATTACCTTGAAAAGCCGAGGAAACACATCTGCTGGCTGTCCACGAATCACAAACAGGCGAGAATTTAATTTTCGTAGATTGGCATCAAGATCCTCAAGACACTGAAGCAAAAATCTAGGGTGAAAAACATATTAAAATTCTTAAGATATAAACTTTTGCAAAATCAGTTTTTCTCCCCCCAGTCTTGAGTTGCCAACCCCCTATTACCCTTTACTGATATATAAATTGCTGTTCCTAGAAAACAAAGTTTTAATAAATGACAGTATAAGTTCTCCAGTGCTTTAGTGGAGATTGGAGTGAAATCACTAACATTCATTAAACAAAAGTGACTGCTAAGCTAGGCATGGAGGTGGATTAAGCCCGCACTCTGGAGGCTGAGGCAGGAGGTCTGAAGTTCAAGTGCTTCCTGGGCAACTCAGAGAGATTTAGTCTCAAAATGAAAAATAAAGAGTTGGAGATACAGCTCAGTGCAAGGGCTCTGGGTTCAATCGTCAGCACTGAAAAACCAAACAAAAAATGCTACCAAAACTTTAATTTGTGAAAATAAAAATTATGTTAAACTATCAAAGCAATTCAATGAACCTATTTTACTATTTAAACATAATGAAATATTCCCATATGAAAATGACTTTTTATATAAAAGACTATCTGAAAAAATTGGCAAGAGGGTCTGCGGGTGGCAGCTCTGGGGCAGTAGGAGCGACTCCAGCGCGGCGAAGGGACCAGAAAGGAGACACCCTCTCATGACTCTGCCGAGGGAACAGTGGAAGAGCATGAATACCTCACTGGGAATTTCTGTGACAGACATCACAATGCCCATTTCACATTTCTAATCTAATTACATAAAAAGGAACACATAGATGCCACATTATGCTGCACAAACTTGGCTGTAGAGATACCAGATCAATGTTTAAAAAGACTTCCTGTGGGCTACGGACTGACGACGCCTGCACAGGTCAGCCCTGAGACTCAGGCAGTCCCGAGCCGGCCTCCCGCACGCCTGCTGCCATGGACACCGCCCAGCTCCCCGAGGGCTCATCACCTACATTCTGGTGCTTAGTTATACACATGGTTTCCTCTCTACTGTGCTTTTTTATGTTCTCACACTTAAGAGTAAACGTGTTCCCGCCTTTTCTACAGGCCGAATGCTCACTGAAAAGAGTGGCTTGTCTCACTTGTGAGGAGGAGGAAAGAGGAAAGGGGAGACAGAGTCTGGGAAGGCACTGTCCAGCCAGGCGGGTCATTTATACTGACAGGAGGTAAAATCCGGCTCCTTCACCACACCACCCACATTTCAAGGCCTCAGCAGCCATGGATGTGGACAGCACAGATGTGGGACATTGCTACTGCAGGACAAAGTCCTACTGGGCAACAGCACTGTTCTGATTTTATTCTCTTTGCTCATTCAGATCTCATCACTTGGCCCAAATCCTTGCTGGTTTTCCGAAACGCAGTTTCGTTTCCCCTCGGCAGCTGTCATTTCCTGTACCTACAGGCATGTAGGAGACGGCGCCCCACTTCAGAGGCAGACACCTCATGGGACCGCTGGACTGACAGAGAAAACCCTCTCAGTTTCCACACTTGCCCTTCATCACGTCCTCCTGCTGTCTTGGTTCACTGTTGCCTCCACAAACAATCCCCACCCAACCCACAACTCCCAATGTGCAAACACTGTGGGGAGGAGGCAGCCGCTGTTAGAGGCACTCAGGTTTCACAAAACTATCCACAACCACGAATAACATCATGTCCAGTGATGTCGGTTGGGGAGCGTCTAATTGAATATATTTGCTTAGCAAAAGAGTTTTTAGACCAAAAATCAAGAAGTTCAATGAAATAGAATTTTACAATTGCTTAAACTTAAACAATACAAAACTAAAATCCTTGATCCAAGATGAAGATAATCCAAATTTTTGGTGAACCTTATTTACCAGAGCTGGTAATAAGTAGCAAGAGTTCTTCACATTTAACTTTTTGGTGCAAATGTTTCTATGTGGTAAAATAGGTAAGATGGGAAAAGAAAAACAAAAGGACATGATTAACTCATAAAATGAACTGAGTGTGGATTGACTAACAGTAGATCCTTTTTTTGTTTCTTATTCACAAGCTAAGCAAACATTCTTAATGCTTTTCAGTAAATTTTTACTCTATGAACCAAACAAATGTCCACAGACAATACAGACTGAAGTAATGTGTCACAATGGGAAGTTCTATAGCCCAAGAATTATTTTTGTTTTGTCACTTGATGAAACAGTGAAAAGAAGCTCTATTCAGATATGGTGTGTTTCTTCCACAGATGTCATTAATTTTCTCCCACAGCATCATATTTTGTATCTCTGATTTCATCCCAAAATTATAGGGTATAGTGGACTCAAATATAGGCACTTAAAAATAATTCACTTTGAGGGCCAGGTATTTAGCTTGGTGGCACTGAGCCTGCCTTGTACGTGCAAGATCCTGAGTTTGATCCTTGGTACCAAAAAAATAAAAAAAATACACTCTGTACTCAGGTACTTTAAGTAGAAAATATCAGTAAGAAGAGAAAATGGTAACACTGTCCTTTGCAGCTACTCACATTTATACATGCATAAGGTTATTAATGATATCTACCCTGGAGAGGGGTGGGAAACAAAATTTTTTCAAACTTCAAAAGAAGTTTAAAGTTTATAATCAGCACATACTCCTCCGAAATAGAACAAAAATGAGATATACTATCTCTACTCTGAACCTGGATGATATATGCTGAATTGGTATAAATTTTCAATTCCATAGTATCCCACTGTGTAGGCATCCTCACAATTTAACAAGTCTAGCAACAAGCACTGTGTTTCAGTCAGTCCTGAGAAGGAGTATCTAATTTCATCATCTGTAACACTGGCACAGTAACAAGATTCATAGCAATGTTTTGTGAGAACTGAATAAATTAACGTGAAGCTCTTGGAACAGCGTCTTCCTACAGTCAGCACTACTGCATAAGTATGTAGCCCCTTGCTCCCTCCCCACTTCTATTTGTTTTTGTTTTTTTTTGTACTGGGGATTGAACTCAGGTCCTTGTGCTTGCAAGACAGAGGCAGCAGAGCCACTGAGCTAAATCCCCAGCCCCCCACTTCTATTTTGGATAAAATAATTCTAGTTCTTAGCTCTTCCTCCTATTATTTATTGTAATGCCTTGAAATAAACCTGTTCACCAACAATCTCGGTCCAATGTAATCCATTTTAGTACACAATACGAAGTCTTCATGAAGCAGGCTTTACTGTACAAAGGTCTTCAAGACTCATTCCTCACATAATAAAGAAACAATTATTTCATGGCCATGAACCTAGGGTTCCAAGACCCTTTACTTTCCACCAAGCCAAAGTATTTCTCTTGTTCCTAAACATTCAGCTTCCTGGAATTTGTTCTATGCTCCTTCCTGGGCCTGGAATCCCTCTGCCAATTCCCACCTCTTCTTACATTGCTAAATCTTCTGCTTTACAGCCGAAAGTCTACCCTCTAAACTGTCACAGAATATACTGTACCTCATCCAATATTTGTTTTTTTTTTTTTGTACTGGGGATTGAACTCAGGTCCTTGTGCTTGCAAGACAGAGGCAGCAGAGCCACTGAGCTAAATCCCCAGCCCCCCACTTCTATTTTGGATAAAATAATTCTAGTTCTTAGCTCTTCCTCCTATTATTTATTGTAATGCCTTGAAATAAACCTGTTCACCAACAATCTCGGTCCAATGTAATCCATTTTAGTACACAATACGAAGTCTTCATGAAGCAGGCTTTACTGTACAAAGGTCTTCAAGACTCATTCCTCACATAATAAAGAAACAATTATTTCATGGCCATGAACCTAGGGTTCCAAGACCCTTTACTTTCCACCAAGCCAAAGTATTTCTCTTGTTCCTAAACATTCAGCTTCCTGGAATTTGTTCTATGCTCCTTCCTGGGCCTGGAATCCCTCTGCCAATTCCCACCTCTTCTTACATTGCTAAATCTTCTGCTTTACAGCCGAAAGTCTACCCTCTAAACTGTCACAGAATATACTGTACCTCATCCAAGAGAAACTTTCAAACTGTACTTCATCCATCCATCCATCCATCCATCTATCTAATCTATCTATCTATCTATCTATCTATCTCTATCTATATCTATCTATCTATCTATCTTTCTGTCTATCTATCTATCTATCTTTCTATCTGTCTGTCTGTCTCTTGTGCTACACAATTTTTTAACCTGTCTTGGTTTCTATATTTGGCAAATTTCATCATGTATAGAACTTGTTGAAAAGATTAGAAATAGGATAAAATGACCTAGTAAGGTTGTCTTATGTGACTGTTTATAAAGATTATGAAGAGCACACAATAATCTAACAGAATCACTAGCATCTGGAAGATATCGATTAAACAGAAGATATCATTATTTTCCCTTAATAATTTCTATTTTTGAAAAAAGAACTATATACTTCTAAAAATAAATATGCAGGGATGACAACAGAAGACAGAGTTGGAGTCCTGCACCTGTACAGAATCACTGAGCGCACACAACTTCATCTGAATGTGACTCTGAACCAAGGTTCGTGCTCTCCCAGTGACAAGGCCCACATTAATGTGGATGTAACATGAGCTTATGGAAAAGGTGCAGTGCAGTAAGCACTCTGAACCAACTAATCTCTCATTCTTTCTCAGAAGTTCTCTACAAAACCTCCAACAGCCTGGGATGAAAGTACCAACTGAAGGAGAGGTGTGATTTCTTTTTACTGCTAAATGAAAAATGTTACTTGAAAACTATGGAAAATTTAATCCTTCATCTTTTGCTCTCAGCTAGGAAACGAGTAAGGTCTCTGCATTCAAATTCAATGTGCTTCAGAGAACACACCAACTGCAACTTTTACATATGGCATGACAGAGGCACTCAATATGAATGAAATAAATGATTTACATATTCCATTAAAATATATAGGATATAATTTAAATGAGACATTTTCAGACATCCCATTTGGCACATAATATATACTGTTTTCTTGACCTACACCCACTTAAAGGCTCAGCTAGTAATGCTACTGCTACAGATTGATTTTGTTTTGTTTTGGTTTTGGTTTTTTGAAACAGGGTCTCACTATGTAGTTGA